GCAGTGAGCCAAAATCATGCCACCTTACTCCAGCCTGGGTAACAGAGTGAAACCCTGTATATATATATATATATAAATTGTTGGTGATATGATTTGGAGATTTAAGCCCCTCCAAACCTCAGGTTGAAATTTGATCCTCAGTGTTGAGGTGGGGCCTAGTGGGAGATGTGTGGGTTATGGGGGTGGATCACTCAGGAATGGCTTAGTACCATCCTGCTGATAACGAGGAGTTCTCACTCTATTAGTTCCCGTAAGAAGTGGTTGTCAGAAAGGCCACAGCACCTCCCTACCCTCTCTGGCTTCCTTTCTTGCCATGTGATCTGCACATACTGGCTCTCCTTCACCTTTTTCTATATGTGGAAGCAGCCTGAGGCCTTACCAGTAGCAGATGCTGGCACCATGCATCTAGTATAGCCTGTAGAACCATGAGCCAAATCAACCTCTTTTCTTAATAAATTACCCAGCCTCGGGTGTTTATAGCTACTAAGTATTTAAAAACAAGCTCAAATTCACTAGAAGTTGGAGATGCAAAAAGTTTTAAAAATATGCAGTTCTACTCTACTCAATATTTTTAAAGTTAGATAATATCAATTTCTAGAGACATCAGAAGATACAAGGATCCTTATTCACTGCTGGAGAGAATGTAAATGGATATAGCCTTGATATGGTTTGGATCTGTGTCATCACCCAAATCTCATATCCAATTGTAATTCCCAATGTTGGAGGTGGGGCTTGTGGTAGGTGATTGGATCATGGGAGTAGATCCTTCACAGATGGTTTAGAACCATCCCTTTGGTGCTGGTCTCATGATGGCGAGTGGGTTATTATGAAATTTGTTTGTGTAAAAGTGTGTAGCACCTCCCCCCTGTTTCTCTTCCTCCTGCTCTGACCATGACATGCCTGCTTCCCCTTCGCCTTCTGCCGTGATTGTAGGTCTTCCTAAGGCTTCCCCAGAAGCTAAGCAGATGCCAGCATCATGCTTCCTGTGCAGACTGCGGGACTTTGAGCCAACTAAACCTCTTTCCTTTATAAATTACTCACTCTCAGGACTGTCAGGTATTTCTTTATAGCAATGTGAGAATGAACTAACCCAAGTCTTTATAGAGAACAATCTATAATGTATGATAATAAATAACGAAACTACCACTAAAGCCCAAAATCAGTTGGATCCCTTGGAAATGTTAATGCAACAGATTCTCCATGGAAAATGAAACCATGATGACAGAGAGGTTGAACAAGTAGTAGGGACAGATGTAGCTTGCCTATTTATTGAATTGAATTGAGTGCTAGAGAATTGGAGTTCACCATACGCACAAGGAGGAGGCTTCCACAAAGTCTCAACTACATGGTGAATCCCACTCACACCCCCTGTTAAGCCTGCACCAGGTGACACCCCAGTATTTACCCTGTACCTGCTGCATGACACTCAATGAGAGCCCCAGCTTCAGAACAACAGCAAGGGACTTTATTTCTTTTTCCCTGCTATGTCTCCAGTGCCTAGAACAGCTCTTGGCACATAGTGGCTGGGCAATAGTTGTTGGATGGATGAATAGATGGGTGGATGGATAGATGGATGAATGAAAGCATTTTCGAGTTAAACAACAAATAAGGATTGAAGTAAAGTTATAGGAACAGTCACCTTCTGCAGGAGAAAACCAACACATTTTTTTAATGCTAGTTCTTTTCTTGGTTTGGTAATTAGTCTTTAAAGATACAGTGTGTGAGTGTGTGTGTGTATGTGTGTACATTGCTCTACAGTGTTACATTGTGGTTCCTCCCTTTCCTTTTCTTGACCTTGCCTTACAGAATTGGTTATGCCCCTTTCTTCATGCAAGGCTCTCATTTTCCTCTTTATTAGCTTTCAGCTCTCATTCTGTCCCTAGCACAGACTCACTCTATTGTACTGCATCTACAGCCTCACTATGCACATTTTAGGTGTTTATTTGCATGTGTATGCAGGCCAATATCCAATTGGCACACTGGGCACAGCCTCCCAGGAGGAGCCCCTTCTGATGGGTTGACACTCACACCACACTGATTTTTAACTATTTTAAATATTGGCCTGTACATAGCCTAATGTACATTTAAATATAGTTGACCCTTGAACAACATGGGTTTGAACTGAGCAAGTCCACTTATATGTGGATTGTTTTCAATCAAGTGAGGATCAAAAATACAGTATTGGAGGGATGCACAACCCACGTATATGGAGGGCAGAATTTTCTCCTGTGAGGTTTCCACAGGACCAACTGTGGGACTTGAGTATGCTTAGATTTTGGCATACACAGGGGGCCTGGAACCAATTTCCCACTTACACTGAAGGACAACGGTATATTCTTAATATATCTAATACTCATTTAATATATTATAATGGTTAATTTAAATTTATTTTAATAGTAGTGCTCATTTAATTGGAAAACATATATCTTTGTTTCTCAGTTTTCTTTATTCTACTTTGTTTTTGCAAACCATCCACATTGCCTTCATTTCTTCTGACTGCTACAAAATGTTCCATTGCATGCAACTAACATTTTACTTATTCACTCTAAGGACAGACATAAAGGTTACCACCTGTTCTTTGCTGCCATCATTGCCAATATAGTTGGAAATTCCTAATATATCTTTCTTTATGGAGCTGTGTGCTAATTTTTCTGAGGTATATAACCAGGAGGGAATTGCTAGAGTAGTACACATGTCTGATTTTATTATGTATTATCATACAAAATAAATTGTTCTCCACAAAGGCCATATCTATTTACCTCCTCTCCAGAAGTGCATGAGGATCCCTGTATCTTCTGATGCCTCTAGAAATGGATATCATCTACCCTTAAAAATATCGACTAGAGTGGTACTGCATTTTTTAAAATAAATTTTACATCTCTAATTTCTGGCAAATATGAGGTTGTCTTTAAATTCTCATTAGCTAGTCAGCTTTTCACTTCTGTTAATGGCTAATTCATATTCTTCCCCCATATTCTAGTGAATTTTCTGATTTTTTTCCCGTTTATTTCATGAGTTTCTTCAATGTGCCAGACACGAATCCTTGTAAGGTTTTGGAGACTGAAATTTTTTTTCCCACCTCTTAATACTGTTTTCTCAGGATTTCTACAGAGTGGGAGCAACTGTATGTCCTGATCTGAACTATTTTAAAGTAGTTTTCCTTTATCTGCCAGGAATACATTCTAAGACCTTCAGTGTGTAAAGCAAAAAGTATCTGAGACAGATCTCAATTGATATAGAGGTTTATTTTGCCAAGGTTGAGGGTGCACCCAGGAAGAAGAGACACAAGTTACCATAAGAGCTGTGTTCAGTACTTTTTCCAAAAATGTTTTTGAGAACTTCAGTATTTAAAGGGGAAAGAGCAGGCAGCAGAGGAAAGAAAGAAAATAAAAGAGAGGGTAGGTAGTGAGATAAGTGATTACATTCTGTTAAGGCTTTGATTAGCACTTACTGAATCCACATGTTAAATATGAAAGGCGTGGGACAGAGAAACAGTCAATTACGCCTTCGTCTCATACTTAGTAGATCTGTATTTTACATAGGATAAAGTAAACAGAGAGTAAAGGAAGAAGTCAAATATGCACTTGTCTTGGGGGTAGGTGGAGGGATGATTTCTAGTCTTGTCTTTGTCCTGTACTTTTGAAGATAAGCTGTTGATTCACATTGTTAGGGTGAGGGAGAGCACCTGGTGAGCTGTGTGGCCTTCTATCTTGCAGCTGTTTAGGACTGAAAGGAAGGCAGTTTTTTTGTTTGTCTGTTTGTTTTGTGTGACTCAGCTCCGAAGCTTAACTTTCGCCTTTGGCATAGTGAGCTTGGGATCCCAGAGATTTTATTTTCCTTTCACATGCGGATGTCTGAAACCTCAGATAGAACCAAAACACATATGTATTATGTTTTTTGACCTTAACATATACTGTGTTTTTCCTATCTGATATATTACACGTCTACTAACGGGTGGGTAGCATACACAGTATGGATACACGGGACAAATGGATGGATGACTCATGTCTTGGATAGGAGGGAGCAGAATGGCATGAGATTTCATCATGCAAGTCTGATGGTGCACAATTTAAAATGTAGAAATTATTTATTTCTCGAATTTTTCTATTTAAAATTTTTGGACTGTGGTTACTGCAAGTAACTGAAACCAAGGAAAACAAAACCGTGGATAAGGGGGACTACTGTACTCACAGCATTTGTGACACCAGTTGTGTGTAGGTTTCCTTCCCCACACCAACAAAATTCCCTAACACCAACTGGGTATCCTGCAATTTAATTCAATTCTGACAAGAACTACCTGGAGTTAGTATCAGACTCCACAGGCTTAAGGGCTCAATCCCACAAACCTGCCCTCACTTTTTGGAGGCTACTTGCTAATAGAGCGTCCCCAGGTTACTCACACTTCTGTCTGACTTGGCTACAAATCAGGGGTTCCCATGACTCCCCTTCAGTTTCGGTAATTTGCTAGAATGGCTCACGGAACTCAGGAAAATTATTTTCTTTCTCTCACTGATTTACTACACACAATACAACTCAGGGACAGCCAAATGGAAGAGATGCATAGATCAAGGTACGGAGTGGGGGGTGCACAGAGCTTCCCTCCCCTCTCCCGACACTGCCCTCCCAGCACCTCCATGTGTTCAACCCAAAAGCTCTCCAAACCCTGTCGTTTAGGGGCTTTTATGGTGGCTTGATTGATTAAATCAATGGTCATTAGTCATGGAATTTAATCTCCAGCCCCTTCCTAGAGGTTGGTGGGGAGGCTGGACATCCCACCATCTAACCACATAGTTGGTTTTTTTGGCAAGCAGCCTCCATCCTAAAACCCTCTAGGGGCTTTTCCAGAGTCACTTTATTGGCATAAACTCAGGTGTGGTTGAAAGGGCTTATTATGAATAACAAAAGACTCTCCTATCACAAAGAGAATTCTAAGAGTTTTAGAAGCTCTGTGCCAGGAACCAGGGACAAAAGCCAAATATGTATTTCTTATTATCATACCTGGTATTTGCCAAAATGTGGGTCCAGGTACAAAATCCATGTTGATGTCCGGAACTTCCATCACTGTGGGGAAAGTGGCATCTTAAAAATGGGGACCCCAAGAGTATTCATTCATTGAGTATTCACTATTTACCTGACACCAAGGCTCCTACTTTTGATCAGCTGATCGTCTAACGGGGGAGGCACATAACAAGGAAGGAATCATCCAGACAATGGAAAGGTATAGAGGGCATACCTGTAATACCAGGGCAAAGTAACATGGTCACATGAAACTCCTCTCTCTGCAATGGACCTAGTAGGTCTCTGAAACAAACACATCATTTACCAGCACTACCCCTTTAATAAGTGTCTGCAGATCCTGTGGTTCAGGATTGAATGGCTAGAGTGTCGTGTTGCTCTAGAATATGTCACAAAGCATCAGGTTCTACAGGTCTTCACACTCGAGGGTGGAAATCACCCCTCCAAGCACAGGGTCATACCTGGTCCCCTTGGTTCCACAACCGTAAAGGAGACATCGCTTGCTGGAAGTCAGTTCTACTGTGGTTATGGCTTGTTCTTCACAGTTCTTAAGGAACGAAGCCTAGTGAGATTCATTGCAAAATCAGCCCAGCAGTTCCTAATCCTTAGTAGCGTCCAAGCAAGAATACAGGTGCCAGGAACTATCAATTTGTTGTGATTTCCATCAGGCTTCTTCTAAGCAGGGAGCTCAGAGACAATTATCTTGCTTCAACTCCCAACCTGACAGGTAATCAGAGCCCCCTGGGCTGAAATAAAGGACTAGAATACATTCTTGCTGGCTTGTACTGTAACATTTTGCCAATTCCCTTGTACACACCCACACTTTCTGTTAAATATTTTAAGTGAAGGTAGCAGCTCAAAGATACTTTCTGTTTCTTTATGATTTCCTTTGTACATGGCCTTCTACTTTCCTTTCTCTTTTGCTCTCCCCAAAGGCACATAGGCAACTCCAATTTTTAAAGAAATAAATATGGAGTATGTGAATTTTCCAGGGCTCTTACTTTTTCTCCCTGTCCTCTGCCTGATGACCTCTCCATTGTTGATCAGGGTCCTATTCCCTACAAATACAGGCAGAGGGAAAGAGTGAAAATGGTTCATTGCATGATGTTTTCATATCTTTGGTTTAACAATAAATGGGGAAAGGGCAAGTTAAATCTCCTAACAAGTAATGCTCGAGGTTATCTGTGAATTACAAATAAAATGATAAATGTCTCACCCTCTCTTTTCTTCTCAGTGATGTGTATTTCTTATCCCCTTTTTATGAGACTTTCCTGAGGATTCCAGGCTGGAACTAATTCTAAGAGACTGATGCATATGTGTAGGTGGGAAAGTTACAGTGCATGGGACAAATCTGATCAGACCCAGAATGGAATTTTTTAAGCTCTTTTAGCTCTTGGCAAAGCCCAACTGGATCTAAATTCTTTGTGGTTGCTGTGTTTTTTTTTTTTTTTTTTTTTTTTTTTTTTTTTTTTTTTTTGAGATGGGGTCTCGCTTTGTCACCCAGGCTAGAGTGCAGTGGTGCGATCTCAGCTCACTGCAACCTCTGCCTCTGGGTTCAAGCAATTCTTCTGGCTCAGCCTTCCAAGTAACTGGGATTACAGGTATGCACCATCATGCCTGGCTAATTTTTTGTATTTTTAGTAGAGATGGGGTTTCACCATGTTGGCCAGGTTGGTTTTGAACTTCTGACCTCAGGTGATCTGCCCGCCTCAGCCTCCCAAAGTGCTGGGATTACAGGCATGAGCCACTGTGCTTGGCCTTAAACTGGATCTAATTTATTGATAATGTTATCAAGATCCTAAAGACATTTTGAATTTCCAAAAGTGTCAAACAAAGGGGACACACCTTCTCCAAGCTACGGTCTAAAATCTCTTTTTGCTTTCTTCATTTGGCCATTGTCATGGGGTGATGCAAGAAGAGCAAGGCAAAATACAAATCTTCCACAGCGTTTGACTAATCTCAGGCCAAAAGCCATCGTACAAGAAGGAATCAGGCTTTAGTTGTGGCGTAAGAAAAGTAAAATGAATCCTATCATGGGGGAAAAAAAGCATAAACTTAAAAGTTCACTTTTCCTCATTAAGAAAGTGCAAAGACTTTAGGATTTTAGAGTTGGTAGAATGAGTGAACACTTTGTTACACCAGAATATAACAAATTCGTTCACTACTGAAATTTTCTTTCTTATTTTGTTTGTCCAGTGTATGTTAAGGAGCTAGAACTCAATTTCTCAACCCTGAATCTACATTATGTAGCACTGCTTGTCAGGTCATGTATATTTTTCTTGACTGGTGTTTATTTAATTCTCATTTAATAATCCCCATAGCAAAGAAAGTAAAAGTGTGTTGAAATGATTCTTCCTCTCAATCAGAATATGGTAAAATGAACAATGTTCTCCAGATCCACTCTGAGTAGGGTTGGCAGATAAAATATAGGATTCCCAGTTAAATTTGAAGTTCAGATAGATGAGGAATCATTTTTGAAGTGTAGGTATGTCTCAAATACTGCAAAAGATATACTAAAAAACTATCTTGTGTATCTGATTTCTTTCTTTCTTTTTTTTTTTTTTTTTTTTTGACGAAGTCTTGCTCTATTGCCCAGGCTAGAATGCAGTGGTGCGATCTCGGCTCACTGCAACCTCCACCTCCTGGTTTCAAGCAATTCTTTGCCTCAGCCTCCAAAGTAGCTGGGATTACAGGTGCCCACCACCACACCTGGATTTTTGTATTTTTAGTAGAAACGGGCTTTCACCATCTTGGCCAGGCCAGTCTTGAACTCCTGACCTCGTGATGCACCCATCTCGGCCTCCTCTGAAATTTAAATTTAACTAGGTGTCCTATAATTTTATGTGCTAACTCTAGAAAGCTAACTCCAGGTGCGTATTTAGTAATCTATGAACTAGAACCAGAGTAGTCTTTTATTATAGTTTTTAAATGATTCTATTCCAGCCAATGAGGTCTGAGTGTCCCCATGAAGGAGGAAGACAGTTTGGTGACGTAGAAGTCACAGGGGCTGAAGACCTGGGAGCAATGCTGGCTTGGGTTGTTCACTGGTTGTTTGTCTTTGGGCAAAATGCTCCAAGCTCTCTTAGCCTCAACATCTTCATCTGCAAACTAGGGGTCTGTACCCTTTTCTAGCTGCTCTCAGTGGGGGCCTAGGTATTCATGGCAAACTCTTTAGAGTTCTCTGGATTGAGGAAGATGAGCAGAAAGAGCTGAACTCCAGATCTCGATTCTGCTTCAACATGAGAAGCTACATTTTGGGTTCCCTCAGCATTAGATATTGCTAAGACATCGTGTTTGGGGGCTTAAATTAAAGAACTAAAGGCAGCAAACCATCAGTGTAGATATTTCCGAGGATTCTCCCAGTTCTAAGTGTCACAGAGGTCTTTAAGGGCCACTGCAGGGAGAAGAAAAGAGTGAGACCCAATCGTCTCAGAAACTGAAAATAAAGCATGCGTTGACTTTGACTATCATGTCTGCAAAGGAAACCCTATTTGCTTCTGTTTTCTGTGAGTTTTATTTTCCTCCTGTGGGTATAATAGTATGTGTTTCCCTTCCCCGTGCTGAAATACTCTGCCAAAGGAAAGTGCTCTGGGAATGCTAATGAAGTTTTATGGACAGTAGATTTGAGGCTAGAAGCTGTACAGAGAGAAAAGAGAATTTACAGGCATCCCAGGATAGAGCTTAATGGAGACTGAGAGAGTTTTCTAAGCAACATCTCTATGTCCAGGTTATTGAGTGCCTTGCTACACCAAAGGATGACAAATTCATTCACTACCACAATTTTCCTTCTTGTTTTATTTGTTGAATACATTTTCAGAAGCTATGACTCCATTTTTCAACCCTGGATGCACATTACAATTTCCAATTTCCTGGGAAGTTTTTAAATAATATTGATACCAAGGCCTTGTTCTTAGGGGTTATTCTTTGATTAGTTTGAGTTGGGGCCCAGGTGTTAGGCATTTTTTAAAAGCTTCTATTGTATCCCAATGTTTAGCCACAGCTGAGAACCACTCAGAATGTGTGCAGATCTCCCTCTTGTCTGTGCCATTAACTGACTCTTCCCTCCTGAGGTTGGGGTAAATGGCCTCTGTTCAGCTCTAAGACCAACTGCAATGGCGTGCAGTAGGTCTCATCAGCTCCCTGTGTTAACCTCAATTTGTCCCGCACTCTCCTATAGCATCATATTTTCTCCCTGACCTTTCCCTTCTACAAGCAAGCAAGCCAGTAATCATCCCCATCCTTAGAGTAATCTCTCTTGATCTCACATCAAACTTCAACCTCTGCCTAAATACTCCAGTTTTCTTAGATCAAAGTCTTCTGCACTGAAGGTTTACGTGTGTTTACCTCCCAGTCTCTTATTTCATTTTTGTTGTATTTTCTATTTAGAAAAGAAAAGATGCAACACATATGTAATTTATGAAGCTTCATAATAAAACAAATTTCTGTGATCTCTGCATCAAATTTCAGATTGTAATGTTACTGGCACCATATTTGCTTCCAATTCATTTTTTTAAAATTTTATAATTATTTTTAAAAGTGTTGAATGAGGACAAAAGATTGTCTATAACATTTGTGCAGGTAAAAAGTGAGAAAGAATAAAAAGAAAGTGACCATTCATGTATGCACCACACCCTGAAATACAACATTGCTAGTCCGTTGACCCCCTTCTGTGACTCTCCTATCCCACCACCTTTACCCCACCCCAGGTAAATATTCCACTAAATTTTGTATTCAGCATTGATTTGCTTTTCATAATAATTTACCACAGTTACATCCTTCAGCAATGTTTAGTGTGGCCTGTTTTTGTACTTTATCCAAGTTTTTCTTATCTCCCTCCAATTGAGAGTTCATTCCAACCACGAACCTTACAAATCCAAAGCTAACACTCTGGCCTTGTATTATTAGCCCCCAACTCCAGTGGACACTCTTGATTTCTCTCTCCTTCTTGATCACATTGGATGGGCACTCTCAGAGCCTCCTACCCACCTCACACGAGTTCCTTTTTTCTTAGTTCCCTATATTGGATGCCTCTCCTCTTGCCTTAT